TTGCTCACGAGTTGGCTCGGCTTTCCGGGTCGACGCGAACACTTAACATGTTTCCAGTCGTAGGTGGACGAACAATCGGGCACGAGCGATGGAGTTGATGCGTCGCGGGGGGTCGGTTGCAGCGGGATTTCCCTGCCGCATCGGTCGTGGGTTTTCGTTCCGAGGAGTCCCAGGGACGCTTTTGAAAACCAGTTCAACGCGTATCATGTCTCATGCAGGTGTTTCCAAAAATCCTTGTGGCGGATCCCCGAGACGCATCCCCATTGCTCATGATTTCCCTGCTTGTTCGTCCACCGGTGAGGCGACCCTGGCTCTTGGCGCCGGTTGCGCTCTGCCATTCGAGCGACAATGGCTTTCGTTTGGAGGAAGCACGTGCACGAGTTGGCAAAGTACGATCTCTTCCTGTTGGCAGACAAGAGGACCCCTGAGAGCACGAAAGCTACACTTCGCGCTCGTTTCGAGGAGAAGCGGGCCTGTTGCATTCCGCACGGTGTTTTTCGTACATTGAAGCTGTCGGGTGCGGACCTCGAATGCCCTCACACATTGCAGCTTCTTTTTTGGATGTGCTGGATGGTACGCCTGACGGTAGGCGACGTGGAAGTCAGGCATGCTCGCAACAACACGTCAGCGGGGCCCGCTGGGATGCTGGAGTTCTCGAACATTGTTTCTCAATGCATCATTGTCGAATGCAGCGAGCTGAAGAGATGCTCATTCCTGTCGTTCGTACCCAGCGGAGGCCATCAGCCGCTCAGCGATGGAGTTCCCGCGCAACGTCGGCCAGCGGTGGCCGGCGGCGGCGCGAGCCTCGGCGCCGAACAGATGCCCAAGCGCCGGAGGCGAGGCAAAACGGCCTTGCAATGTTTTGCCCGAAACCACAATCTCGATCATTTGAAAGTTAAGGGTAATATTACAAAGGAATATAGTCGTCAGCTTCAAGCCGATTTTGATGCGTTGCCACCAGAGCGCCGAGAGGCTTATCACCAGGAAGCGCTGCGCAGCCGCATTAAGGCCCAGGCAGCAGAGCAACCTGCCCGCATAGCAGAGCAGCGCGCAGCTACCGATCAGCCTGCTTTGCATGATCGGCACGTGCAGGTGGCAAGCAGACGTGTGGGATGCAACGAGCTGCGACGGCCGTGCCTGGCATCTCCGATGGTCTCACGCATGGGGCGCGTGGGAAGTCATCGGCCTACGATCGTATCGGGGGTCGCGCCAGGCATGGCCGTCGCAGTTCCCAGCGCCCCATGCGCGCGTTTTCCACCCGCAGGCCGCCGGCCCGGCCGGTGCCCTTGCAGAGTTCGCCCAGCCCGCCAGCTCATTGTCTTCAGGGCGCCTGCTTATCGGGAACACGTTGCAACTTGAAACTCTTCCACAAGCATCTGGGGAATTGGTTGAAGCTACCGTTCAGAATGCTGAGTTGTGCATGGGGCGTTTCAGGGAGGCGCAGAGCAACGCCATGATTTTGGCTGACGCGTATGTGCAGAACGATGAGCATGCGATCATTCGAAATTTGGTTTGCCAGGACACACTCGGCACATCCATTAAAAAACAAGCTGTGGAAGTAACCGCGCAGAACTTCCAGAGGGAGACGCGGAAGGTCGGCAGGGGCGTAGGGTCCGCACATTTTCCAGCGGACGTCCAGTACCCCACTCACTGCGAAGGCCCATGCACGCAGGATCTGAAGGCCCACAAGACGTTTCTCCAGGTCAGGGCGATATTGAAGGCACTTGCACAGCGTTGCGAAAGCCCGTGTTCGGTGCCAAATGTTGACCTCCCCATCGTCGCCGAAGCGTCATCGTCGACCATGCGTAGGCGCAGCTTCTGGAGATTGGTCGCTGCGTCGTTCCAGAGTGGCCGCCACAACGCAACCGAGACGTTTTGGCGGTACGAGGCCTTGGACGGGCTTGCGATTGGCAGGGATTACGGCGATTTGCAAGTGAATCTGGTCATGGGCCCTCTGGTGATCATGAGCTCGCCCGGCCCTCGCCCATTCGACAGCCAGCATCCGATGCCGACTTTTTTTCGACGAGGTGGTGGTGGTTGAGTTGATCGCGTGCGGCCGCGCGTCTACTGAGGAATTGGGCGGTCGCTCGCTGGCATCGGAGGTGGTCTTGAAAAGCTTGCTTTTCGATGAAGTCGTTGATGGCATTTTGAACGTCAAGCATGTGGATGCGGCATTCGCCCCATTGCGGATGTCGGAGATTGCCGTGCGAACACCGAAGCCAGCGAAGGCGCCTGCGAAAGCCACGAGCAACTCAGCCGATTTCCTTCGCTTCCTGGAGGACGAGGAGGACGGGGCCCGACCACCAAGTAGCAAGCGCCCCGCCTCCGCATGTTCGAAGTCAGCTTCGGGCAATGCGAGGGCCCCTGCAGATCTCCACCAGGAAGCCGTGGAGGTTTTTTCCAGGAGTTTGGGCTTGGCGTTGGACCCAGTCTCCGAGGACCCCTGGGCTGGCCCCAACATCGTGAGTGGCTTGTGCGAGGTGGTTGGCGTCAGCACCATTCGCGAGATCTCCGACGTTATGCTAGACCTCGAAGAGAACGAAGCCGAGGACGAGAACCACATAGCGAATGAGCTTGATCAAGGGGGGGCAGAGGGCGACGGTGACGAGGGTGGCGACGCTGGCCAAACACCTGTTGCAGATCCCGCCCAGCCTGTTCAGCCAACGCATCCTCCACAAGAAAACACAGCATGGATTCGAGGTGCGGGAAACAAACTTTACTTGTGGCCTTTTGGCAGAATACTTCTCCCAGGCTGCACCCGCGTCTGCGTCGCCGAGCTCTGCGGCTGCCTGCAGGGTCAAGTGCGGCTCCCTCCACAAAATCAACGACCAAGGAATCAAAATGACTTGCAACCAGGGTCACCATAATTGTAGTTGCTGGATCACGTATCGCAATGCGAACCACGAGGCGGTCAAGGATGACCTGGTCCGTTGGTTGTCGAGGGCCCGTCCTGATAGAGAGGGGGACGACGAGAATGGGCATTGGCGGGAGGCGCAAAAATTAAAGGCCTCATATGGGATGCGCGTGAAGAAGTAGGCTTGGATACGCGAGCAGCGCGTAGATTTTTGCGGAAGGCTGATGCGACTTACCAGAAACTGTTGCGATGAAGGGACACAGGAAAAATGTGCCCGAGGGCTCGCGAGCACGATGCCTTGGCCCCGGAGGCAAATTATATCGGAGGCAAATTATATCAAGTCGAGGGATAGGGAGATGGGAGGAAACGCAAAGGGGAAAGGGAGGAATCTAGGGGGGAGGGTTTTTTCTTAAAAACGCAGATTCTCGCAACCACACTGAGTTAATATATCCTCTGGTCTGTGCCCGCCGGACTACATCCCAAGCCACTCAATATGCGTCGACGTCGTCGTCGTCGTCGTCGGTCGTCGTCGTCGTCGTCGTCGTCGTCGTCGGCGTCGGCGTCGGCGTCGGCGTCGGCGACGTCGACGTCGACGTCGACGTCGTCGTCGTCGTCGTCGTCGTCGTCGGTGGTCGTCGTCGTCGTCGGCGTCGGCGTCGGCGTCGGCGTCGGCGACGTCGACGTCGACGTCGACGTCGGCGTCGTCGTCGTCGTCGTCGTCGGCGTCGGCGTCGGCGTCGGCGACGTCGACGTCGACGTCGGCGTCGTCGTCGTCGTCGTCGTCAACTTCGGCACTGGAGTCGCCGGTGTCGGTACCTGTGGCGTTCCGTTGGTGCCAGGGGTGTCGGGCCGGCAAAAATATGTTTGCCAGCCCCGGCTGGCGGTCGCCGTGGATTTTCGCCAACCCTGTAAAAAATGGGGCCGGCAAAAAATCGGGGGCCTCGTTGGGCACCACGCGGGGGGGGCCGGCAGAAATATTTTTGCCAGCCCCGCCCCGCTGGCACCATGCGGGCACGGAAACGATGGCACCCCGCAGGAAGGGCCCCACCCTCCCCTCCGAAAATATTGACGCCTGTAATCGCGCCTTCCCAGATCACTCCCAAAAGAGAGGGGAAAAACGGCCGTCAATATTTTTGAAAATATTGACGCCTGATTTTGGCCACCGAATCGGGTTTGGAAGAGGTTGGTTTATCCTGTAATCGCGCCTTCCCAGCTCACTCCCAAAAGAGAGGGGAAAAACGGCCGTCAATATTTTTGAAAATCTTGACGCCTGGTTTTGGCCACCGAATCGGGTTTGGAAGAGGTTGGTTTATCCTGTAATCGCGCCTTCCCAGCTCACTCCCGAAAGAGAGGGGAAAACGGCCGTCAATATTTTTGAGAATATTGACGCCTGGTTTTGGCCACCGAATCGGGTTCGGAAGAGGTTGGTTTATCCTGTAATCGTGCCTTCCCCGCTCACTCCCAAAAGAGAGGGGAAAAAACGGCCGTCAATATTTTTGAAAACATTGACGCCTGGTTTTGGCCACCGAATCGGGTTTGGAAGAGGTTGGTTTATCCTGTAATCGTGCCTTCCCAGCTCACTCCCAAAAGAGAGGGGAAAAACGGCCGTCAATATTTTTGAAAATATTGACGTCTGATTTTGGCCACCGAATGGGGTTTGGAAGAGGTTGGTTTATCCTGTAATCGTGCCTTCCCCGCTCACTCCCAAAAGAGAGGGGAAAGACGGCCGTCAATATTTTTGAAAATATTGACCCCCTTGTAATTTTGAAGCCTGCTCTGGCTCATGCTTCATTGCGTTTCGTCGTCGCCCCAAGGTTGCGCAGAGCTGATTGTAGTCTTGTGTTGTTTGGGAAGTATTTATCCCACTAAGTGGGATTACAGTTCGGCATGGCAGCAAACATTCTTGCGGGACGGAGCTTGCCCCACCGACGACATGTCACGGAGTCGGTGCGGAGGATCGGGGGCTCTCTGGGGGATGGGCTGGCATCCCCTGAATCGGCCCTGGGTGGTAATCTCTGCGTCTGTCTCAGGCCTTTACCGAATGTTGATTTTTACGTCTCTCCCTCATCCTCTCACCACTCGCCCTCCCCAACCATGGCTGTTTTGGTTCATGCTTCTGGTTAGGAGTTTTTTGGCAAGCCCCGAGTTTCTCCCGAACGCTGTTGCAGCGTACTTCCTGGGGTCTCAGCCTGCCGCACTGCCAGCGGCGCTGTCGAAGTGCAAGTATTGCCAGCGAGAGAGAGGTTCCATGACCAAGAGCGGCTCTGAAATCAAATGGCGCCGGCCTCAGGGTCGCGAGTGCAACTCGTGTCCGAATGTGCAGCGGTCTCATCCGCAATGGCTGGGGCAGTGCGACAACAACGCCGAAACCTTGTCCAACAGGTTGGAGTCGGACGGCGTCTTCCTTGCAGGCTATGTGGAGGACGTTGACAGCTGGGAGTCCAAGAGGTCCAAAAAAGAGTACACCCCTTCGGTCAAGAAGACCGTGAGCGCCTACCAGTCCGACGAGTGTGTCTTCGAGTCGGTGGTCGGCTACCTGCGGCCCCTTGCCGTATACAAGAGGGAGAAGAAGTGCGAGCCGAAACAGAATAAGCACCAGGTTCAGACCATCGACGGCCGGAAGTGCGCGATCCTGGACGCATCCCACGGCACCCACTTGACCGTGCCAGGGGGGGGGGAAATATTTACAAAAAAACGTAAAGTGGGAGTGACTTCGTCTGGCGAGCTCGCGAACACTGCGGAGGGCTCTACCGACGAGCAGGTGAAGAAAGCATACAAGGCAGGACAGACAGCTTTAGCGACGAAGGCTCGCCACGACGAGGATACGGGCGAAGTCAAAGTCAAATCCGGCAAGTTGGATTTTGGTGGGGACCCCGAGGGTGAGGAGTCGCTGCTGTTGGACATTTGGGGGTCGTCGCTTTCCAGGGCCAAGAACGCGCCGAAGGCCGGCGACCAGGCGGAGGACGGGGGCACAGAGGACACCCCGTCAAAGCTCCCCAAGAAGAATGCAGGCAGCAAGCCCGACCTCAAGGACACACCAGCGCAGGAGGACGACGACGGCGAAGTTTCCCTGGAGAGGCCGACTCCAGTGAAGCAGCAGCCCGTGATCAAGAGGGCAAAGATTGGCGGGCAGGGCGAGTCGGCGTTGATGAAGTTAGCAATTGATGTTCAATCTTTCGTCAACGAGATGTGCACCATGACTCGAGACGACTCCTGGACTGCATCGGCGGCTGGCCCGTGAAAGCAACCAGGTTTCGCGCGAAGGCCAGGATCTTGCAGTTGAAGTACGACAGCAAAATCGAAAGCCTCAAGGGAGAGGAGGCTCTCATGTCGACGTCAACCTGGCGGGGCGCTTGCAAGACCAACGACTCATTGGGAATTCTGTGTGCGCTGCTAGACTCGATGTTTCCACCGGGCCCGGATGCTAAATCGTCATTCCTGCTGTCCTCGGCGATCGAGGCTTTGGCGAAAGTGCGCGAGGGCTACAAGCTCGAGAAGCACTGGGACGTCTTGTGCTTCATCTTGCATTGCCAGTTCACCATGACCACCGATGCATACGTGGCCGTCACTTCGGCTTGCAGTAGGCTGGCCGCGGACAGCGGCCACGAGCCGAGCTTGGCGAAGTTGGTGACTTTCTCAGAACCCTTCGGTGGCATTGGCGAACATCTCGACGACGTTCGCGCGAAGGCGAATGGAGGGGCACGGTTCTAGCCGCTCGGGACTCGACTTGCGAGAGGTCCATGCCGAAGGTTGGGCTTCGGCTTCGCGCCAAAAGCCATGCGGCGTGAATCTCTTGCGCGTCGAGCACCCTCCGGGCTTGCAGCCGCTCTCCTCGGCGAGGTGTTCGTCGCCTGGGCGATCGGATTCTTGCAGATGACGTTGCCTGCCGACGCGAAGGCCAACGACGTCGCCCCTCTGTTGGCCCCGGCGGTTGCGTTTGTCAAGGCATGGGCAGAGAAGGTGTCAGTCGCCGACTCCGGCGGCGAACGCGCGACCAAGTTCGAGGGCGGGGTGTCTTCCGTCGTCCTTTTCAACCCGGACGATGTTAACCAGGAGAAGGTTGACGAGTGGACTTCGGCATTGGAGGATCTGACCGCCGAGAAGAAGTCTTCCGTCGCCAAGTCGATCACGCGGCCTCCCTCGAGGGAGAAAGGGAATGCATTGCAGACGATGGGCAATTACCTACGCGCTCGCATCCTCTTGGCGACATCGGCTTGGAACGCCGATAAAGGGTACTTGATCGACCTGGAAGGCGTTGACTCGGCTCTCGCTCACATGCGCCTTCCGAGCAAGGTCCTCATCGTCGCAGCCCTCTCCCAGAACAAGGATTTTGCGACGAGGTGGCAGAAGGCATTCGAGCTATACAGGGGTCTCTTGAGGAACTCGTCCACTGCGTTCCAGACGAAGCACGGTGCGATGATCAAGAAATGCAGCGACCAATTCGAGGCCTATTGCACCAGGGCCGTCGAGGGGCTATGCGAGAGGGCGTCCAAAGAGTTCAGGATGGGTGATCTGGAGAAGACCTTTGTCGAGTTTGCCACCAAAGTCCACGAGGAGAAGCCCCGGCAGGCGATGGTTGACCTGTGCGAGGGGTGCGCCACTGTTGCACTCGTGCCACCTACCATTGCCATGGGCAAGATGTTCTTTGACGACACGATCAAGACGTGCCACTCCACTGGAGCCTGGCTGTCAGCAGTCTTTGATAAGCTCATGGACGCGCTGCCCTCCCTCCACGCAGCGTTAGCTTCGGACGATGTCGGCGTGGCCACTGGGGCCATTTACTCAGGCTGCATGGGGCTCCTCAGCGTCTTGTGGCCTAGCGGCGGCAATGCCGACGGACAGGCGCTGGCGCAGAAATTCCCAGCGGTCGCTGCCGTCGCCGGTTCCATCGAGAAGCGCGTCTTGGAGCTACGTGTGCCCAAGTGCACGGCCCTCGTGACAGCAGGGGCCGAGCTGAAGATCGCGACGGAGGTGGCCCCGGTAATCTCCCAGACAAAAGCCGAGGAGTTGCAGGCGGCGTTGTTCGACGCCGATAAATCGCCTTCTAGCTTGGCCAGGCTGGGCTCCCTGATGCGGCTGAAGGAGGTGGCCGTCGGCAAGGATAAGCTCGTTCACTACGCCACCCCGCTGATGATCCAATCTTGCATTTCATGGCACGTCGTGGCCGCCGCAACCCACGCAGATATTGTCGAGAAGGTGTTGGCGGAGTGCAAGGTCACTGCAAACGCCATCAAGCCTGGCGTCGAGTTTGGTTTCGCCGACGTGTTCCAGCAGCACCTCGAGCATCGCGCCAAGGCGTTGCAAGAGAGTTGCACCGGCGCGCTGGCCCAGCAGTTCGGCGTCCTCTCGGGCGCATTCCTGGAGTGCTCGGCGCTCGCCGACAAGGTCGCCCTCCCCGAGACCGCTGGCATGACGGAAAAGAAGGCGCAGGCGTTTCTTCAAGATGGGTCTGTTGTTTCTCTGCATTCCTGCATCTCCAAGGTCAAGAAGTATTGCGCTCTGTTCGCACGGCTGTGCGATTCGATCGACACGGAGGTGGCCCCCATGCTGGAGGGCTTCTCGGCAGGATCTGGCGCTCGCGTGTGCGAGGCCATTGGCTTGCAGAAAACCCAGGCCCTTGCACTTGAGCAGAAAACCGGCGCCGCGGTCGGGCGTCGCCTTGGACACTTCGTCCTTGCAGGTCCTTTTCCTTTCGCCAGAGGATGCGAAGGCATCTCTGGCTGCTCGGCTCGTGGCGTCTTTCGCTGCGAGCCCGAAGGTCGTCGACGGCCTGTCGACTACGTGCTGCAAGATGTCAGCCAGCGATGGCCTCTTGAAGTTGCTCACCCAAGCGACTGAGCAGCCAAAGGCTGCGAAGCCGGTCCAGGAACAGTGATTGGAGGGCCGAGCAGCGTTCAGGGCTTCGAGACTGCACCGACGGTGGAGGACCGGGGCACTGGTGGCGGGGCGAGTGCAGCTACACGAGCTAGGGCGGACCTCGGCTTAGGAGGGTCGGGCACGGAGGGGTGCGCATTGTGTGTGAGGTAAGACTGCGTGCACTTACCTTCCTCCCTCCCTCCCTTCCTCCCTCCCTCCCTTCCTCCCTCCCTCTTCTTCCTTTCATATACACATATATCTCTCCCAGTTCCCGTAATTGTCTTGTTCTCTCCCTCTCTCTCTCTCTCTTTCTCTTTCCTCCTCTTTTTCTCTCCATCCCTCTCCTATTGTTCTCGCCCTCTCCCCCCGCTAATTCCCTTCCTCGCATTCCCAACTTACTGGCGAGAGCATTGATAGAACCCCCATCGTGCAAATCTTACCGGCGACCGTTTAGATTGCCGCGCGCATTCCCGTCGAGTGTCAACGCTAAGGTTACCGAATGCACGTTGGTAGTAGTCGCGTGAGTCAAGCCTTGATGCAGTTCCAAGTCGATCTATGGAGCTCCGGGTGGATGCGATGCTAATCGCGTTCACGTTGGTTAGAAGATGCATGCGTGAACGTTCAGATATTGGCTTGACGGTTGAAGCAGTTGCTTCCGTGTGTGATATTATCACGCTGTGCACTTTGGCGTACCAGTGGGCGTATGTGTGTGTACGTGTGCGTGCGTGTGCTTGAGTATGCGTGTGTGTGCTGTATATGCATGTGTGCGGCTTGTCACATTGCGTGCAGGGTGGTCGTGTAGTAGGATAGTGCACGTCAGCAGTCGGGGCAGTAGGGGTCATACGGCACCACTCCAGCAAGCGAGTGGAGCACACTCACGTGGGGTAGACAATTCTGCAGTTTTCAGTGCCATTCTGATGTGCCCAGTCTATGGCTGCAGAGCTTGCCGACTGGATCGCGGGGTTTCCGCACGGGGAGTGCTAGCAACGATGTGGAAAACATCCCATCCGTTTTCTATCGTGTATTTCGCATGCACAAGAGCATGCGAAGAATGAGTTGCAATTCAAAGAGGGGTTCAAGGCCAGGGTTTTGATACCAACGTTTGGGATATCTCGGATTCGCGCGCTTCTCCAGATCAGGAACGCGATGCCATGTTCACGACTCTGTGTTGTTGCTCACCCCATTGAGCGCGAAATTCCGTAACAGTCGTTCCCCCTTCCCCTCCCCTGTGTCATCCCTCCTCTCCCTCCTTGTCCGTGTCGCTCTTCCTCCTTCACTCTCGACAAGGGAACCAACAGGGCGAAGCCCAACTGGAGTCGCGCCAAACAAACGGGGTAACGCGGTCAGCGTAGGTGGCCTGCTTCCCTTCGTTGCATTGTTTGAGTTCCGATCAGAACTAGGATATGGAGGGAAATATGGTGGCAGTGAACAGTAGCAAACCAGAGGATTTATTAACTTTGTTTTTGATGTCACCAAACGGACGGGCCACTTGAATTCACCAAGCTCTTGCGTAAGGGAAGCGTTCTCTTCTTCCTCCTCCTCTTCACCACCATCATCATCATCATCATCATCATCACCATCATGCCCTTCCTCCTCGCTGCACGTGTGTGCATAGCGCCAGGCAGGCGCAGCCTCAATGGGGGCGGGGGTAATAACTTTTGGGACAAGATATGTGGGCGACCCACGATCAGCATAGTAAGTGCCACGCCCCACACTATACACATGCACGTCCCATTTCTTCTCTCCATCATTGCCCGCGCCTTGGAATGGGCAACTGAAGGCCAACACGCGCCTGGCAACTTGTGCTTGGTGACCGTTCGAATGTTGCCAGATACGCGGCGTCACAGCGCTACCCCCGTAGGTGTAGCTGGTTCGCGCCCGCCCCATGGCTCTACGGGGCTCGCTGGACTGCCGCGGCGGCGGTCGCCGACGCGCCGTGGGAGGATTCTTGGACCCGCGAGCTGTATAGTTGTGGGCCCCGCCGGCGGATCGGTTGCACCCCCACGGGGTCGCCCAGGACAAGCGCGGTGACACCCGCTTCGGCGCGTGGCGGCCTCGAAGGGAAGTCAGGCCACAAAGCGGCGTTTGCCACTATTCGTGCAATTCCAGAAACGCAGCCACAGGCGAGAAAAGCCCGAGCCCCCAGGGGATGGAAACCGAAGCTAGACGAGGAGGGGCAGCCGTCGCAGCACCGCGCCCTGTTGACAAACGGCCTCGAAGAAGGGCACCATCAACTCACGGAAGTGAGCAGCCTGGTCGTGGAGGCCGCCCGTGATGGTGGAGAGACGACTCATGCACCTAGACGGTGGCATGGCATCGAAGTCGAGACGCTCTTCTTCGCTGCTAGACGCCAAGAGTGGGATGGCGGAGGCGAGGAAGTAATCGCGAAGAGCGTTTGGCGTGCACTCTGGGCGGGGAGACGAGCGCGGCAGGATAGAGATATTCGGGTGGTGGCTGAGTTGGGCCAAGGCTTGAATCGCCTCCAGCGAGCGCGGCGAATGCATGAGGCCGCCGAGAGGGCCGGCGCCGCCATGAACACAGACGGGGATCTGGTGTCCGACAGCGCTGGCAGCGCAGAGGGTTTCGCGCAGTTCTGCGAGAGTTCGCGCCAGGAGGGGGGGGGGGGGGGGGCGGCGCGAGGGGGTGCTGGGACACGACAGAAAAAGGGAACGCGATCATGGCGTCAGAGGTCGCGGGGGCGCCGCGCGGCATGAAGGCCCGCAGAATTGGAGCAGGCGACGGGCTCGTCATGGAGATGTTGGGGGCGGGGCATGATGGGCTGATGGACGCTTTGGTTTCCTACTTCACAGACGCGCTGGCCGGGGCCATGGTGCCTCCGAGCGACTGGGAAGTTGCGCGTTTGCCTGTCATTTTCAAGAACGGTTTACGAAGTGATTTCAAACATTGCAGGTCGATTCCCATCATTCCTGCAGCGGTAAAGTTGTTCAGCGCTGCGCTACGCTGGCGCGTCCGAGACCGGGTCGAGCAGAAAAATGGTGAAGGCCAGTGTGGTTTCCGAAGGGGCAGAAGCTGCGACGACGCCATGCACGCGCTGCGCGCGGTGGCGGAGAAATCAACGGAGCGGGGGGGTGGGGGGGGCGTGCACGGCTGCGCTGGGCGTCGAGAAAGCATTCGACGCAGTGCACCGCGCGCGGCTCCGCGGCCTTAATGGCAGCGGATGTGGGCACGAGTGCTGCCACAGTACTCCGGGCGCTCCATCGCGACATGTCGGCCTGCGCCGGGCTGCCCTGGGGTCGGAGAGCAGGCGCTTCAAAGTGCAGCGCGGTGTCCGGCAGGGGGCCCGTTGCCGCCAGTTTTGTTCAATTTGGTCATGGCGCAGATTCTAGACGAGGCGAGGCGAGCTGCGTCCGGCAGCGGCGCGGCCCTGGCACTATGGTCGGCCAGGCGCTGAATGGACAGCGCCTCGCGCGTTGCATATAGCAGATGATGCAACCCTGATCTCACGGACGTGGTCCTCGTTGGAGCGCGTGATATTGATTTTGAGGGCCGTTCCCTAGGAGGGGTCTCCAGCACCGCCCGACAAAGTGCAAAATGCAGACAAATCGACCAGAGGTCAAGCAAAGGGGGGGCGTCGAATTTGAGCGCGGTTTCTCGGTCGAGCTGTTTGGGGGGGGGCGAGCCTCTGGAGGCTCCGGGCGCGATGCGTTCAATCAGCAACGCGATGGAAGTTGCCATCGAACGCGGAGTAGCGATTGGTCCGCGCAAGTTCAGAAATGCAGACAATGCAGCTCAGCATTGGCGTGGCCACTTCCGCCGCGGGACTGAAACTCTTCGACGCAACGGTTGGTGCATGCGTCTTGCGCGGTTCGAATTCCTGGGCGCCGCGCGCGGCGGATATCTGCTTGCTGGCAGTCGCGCAGAACAAGAAGCTGCGCCGGATTGGCGGCTTCAGGCGCGCGCCGGAGGAACAGCGGCGCGAGTGGATCCAGCGGGTGACGAAGCAGGCGCGGGGCAAGGCGCAGATCGCGAAACCATCAAGAGGTCCGTATGGAGGCTCCAACCACCAAATCTGACAAAAGGCCTCCCAGATGCTTTCCAAAAGACTACATAACTTTTCAAAGAGTCTTCCAACAGCCATCCTGGAAGGCATTCAAAGAGCGCCTCTCGGGCATCCCCCTTTAAGCTGCCCTGGGTCCTCCTCCTGGCTGCCTTGCGCGCCTTCCTGGGGACTCCCTGGGCGCTTGCAGAAAAAGCTGGGGAATGTGTGACTTCCTGTCGCTGTCGCAGCCCCAGCACGCTCTTTCTCACCCTCCTTCTCTTGGCCTTCCCACCTCCTGCCGCTTTCGTCTGTTACCTCGCACCTTCTCCATCTCACTTCCGGGCTCCACTTCCTCACCACTTCTTAGCATTTTCGAAAGATTATGCCAGGCTGTCCTTCAGGTTTTTTCAGATTCATTTGGGTTGCCCTAGACCCCATTTGTGGCCATCATGCACGCCTTCCCAGGGCCGTCCTAAGCGCCCGCGCGTGTCTTTTCCATCACCCTCCGATTTTTCCGTCGTCGATGGAGGAGCAGGGTTGGAAACTCGCTCGAGACATCCTTCTGGTTGTCTATGTGCGCGGGTTGTGTTTCGCAGGGCACTTTCAGCCACGGTCGGGTTTACGTCGATCTTGGCCAGAAAGCACCTGAGAACGAGGAGGAGACGGAGGAGGAGGAGGCGCAGGGGGAGGAGGAGGACGAGGAGGAGGAGGAGCAGGAGGAGGAGGAGGAAAAGGATCACCAACACAATACGAACTGGAGGAGGAGGAGGAGGAGGAGGAGGAGGACGGATGACAAATAACAGATGGAGGGACGAATGGGGGGGAGGGAGGGAGGGAGGAGGAGGAGGAGGAACAGGAGGAGCAGGAGGAGGAGCAGGAGGAGGAGCAGGAGGACGAACAGCAGGAGGCAGGATGGAGGAGAGAGGAGCAGGAGGAGGAGGAGGAGGAGGAGGAGGAGGAGGAGGCGGAGGAGGAGGAGGAGGAGGAGGAGGAGGAGGTGGAGGAGCAGGAGCAGGAGC